TCCCTTGCCTTTGGGGATGTGTCGAGTAAGAGATTGCTACGGCTGAGGTCAGAGAGGTCTTTTCCTGCTTTCTCCTCTAAGGTTTTGATGGTTTCCTGTCTCACATTCAGGTCCTTTATCCATTTTGAGTTTATTTTTGTGAATGGTGTGAGAAAGTGGTCTAGTTTCAATCTTCTGCATGTTGCTGTCCAGTTCTCCCAGCACCATTTGTTAAAGAGACTGTCTTTTTTCCATTGGATGTTCTTTCCTGCTTTGTCAAAGATGAGTTGGCCATACGTTTGTGGGTCTAGTTCTGGGGTTTCTATTCTATTCCATTGGTCTATGTGTCTGTTTTTGTGCCAGAATTTAGGCTTTTTGTGAGACACTATAGTACTTTGAAAAGAGGCTTCAGTCATGTCGGTGACAGATGGTCACTATTTATATTTATTTATGTTTATGTTTGTTTATGTATATGTATATGTATATGTATATGTATATGTATATGTATATGTATATTTAAGAAGCCGGAAGGGGTGCCTGGATGGCTCAGTAAGTTAAGTGTGGGGATTCTGATTTCAGGTCAGGTCATGATGTCACAATTCATGAGATGGCGCCCCGCAAGGGGCTCTGTGCTGACAGTGTGGTCGCTTGGGATTCTCTGTCTGCCTCTCTCTGCCCCTGTGTTGTTTGTGTGTGAGCTGGAGCACTGTGCTCTCTCTCTTTCTCAAAATAAATAAATATTTAAAAATAAATAAATAAGGGGCGCCTGGGTGACTCAGTCGGTTAAGCGTCTGACTTTGGCTCAGGTCATGATCTTGAGGTTTGTGAGTTTGAGCCCCGTGTGCGGCTGTGTGCTGACAGCTCAGAGCCTGGAGCCTGCTTCCGATTCTGTGTCTCCCTCTCTGTCTGCCCCTCCCCTGTTCACACTCTGTCTCTTAATAATAAACGTTAAAAAAATTACAATAAATAAATAAACATTAAGAAAATAACAGGCAGGAAGATCACAAGAAATTGAAGTTCACGGGGCACCTGGGTGGCTCACTTGGTTGAGTGTCGGAATTTGGCTCACATGATGATCTCTCTGTTCATGACTTCGAGCCCCACATCGAGCTTGCTGCTGTCAGTGCAGAGCCCACTTTAGATCCTCTGTCCCCCTTTTTCTACCCCTCCCCTCCTTGCACTCGCTTTCTCTCAAAAATAAACATACATTAAAAAAAAAAAAAAAAAAAGACTAAATTCTCCTTTGGTCCCACCAACATTTCCCTCTTGAGAGCAAAACATTTTCAGCAAGAAGCTAAATGCTTACCTACACATTTGTATAATGTCAAGAAATAATAATAAAAAAAAAGTGAAGTTCACAAAGAATTCACACTCCTATCTATCATCTGCAAGTTTTTATTATTGCCCTTAAATCCACATTTATGATAGTATAGAACGTTTACAGTTTCCAGAACTTTTTTCCACATATATTATCTCATTAGATTTTTTTTAAAGCCTCTTAGGAACTAGAGAAGAAAGCTATTTATTTCCCCATTTTATAAGTAAATAGATCAGTTAGATTAATTTTTTAAAGTTCCCACAGCAAGTAAAAGCATAACTGGGCTAGATGCAGGGTGAGGATTTGTCAAACGTTTTTGCCCAATACCTATACAAAGAAATCACATTTTACGTGTGTGTGTATTTACTTTCATATATGTTGACTTTCATACATATTCAGGCTCTTTCTCTAACATTTTCTATTGAGAAAATTGTATTTAAAGAGAACTGGGTAGTTTTGACTCACAAAGTTGACCAGAGCTTCCCTGGTGTAGGAAAAAAACCCAGTGTTTTCAAATAGTCACACCTGAATCCCATATGTGTCTGTGACTTTACCTCCCTAAGGATGTTTCCTAATTTGTAAAATTGGGATGTTACTAATACTTAACCCTACAAGATTCTTGTGAAGTTCAAATGAGTTAACATAAAGCACAGTATTCTATCAACTGTATGTAAGTTATAATTTACACTAATATAATTATAATGTGGATGGTTTTGTGAGTGATAATTAGCTACTAATTTGACACAGTGGCAAAGTGTGATTTTATATGTTTGTGGTTTTTAAAAATGCCTTTCATTGGGAGAGTTTAAAATGTTTTCTGTGTGCAGCATCTTAATTTCAGGCTACCCTTCTAGCTGTTGAAATGGCATTTGAAAAAGTGAGGGAAAAAAAGGTAAGGATGTGGAGCCCTTCAACGATGTTTTGAGCAACGATGTCTTAAGTGGGCATTATGCTAAGTGATTCACATATGCACACTTCATTTTATCTTCCCAACAGTCCTAAGAAGTAGGTTTGATGAGATGTCTATTATATGCATAAAGAAACAAAGGATGACCTGAGCTCACAGTATGAATGGAAGAGTTGGAATTTAGACCTAGGCCATTATCACTATGTTATATTTCCTTCTTTTTTAGGGCAAAGAAGAAAAGCTAAGCCAACCATAAATCACTTTGAAAATTCAAAAGAATCAAAACTCCTACTACTCATAATACTTCCTATTATTCATAACTCCTACAACATTCATAACACCTCCCTCTCATACCATTAGGTAACTTAATCCCTAATAGGCATTTGAGCACAGCTATTAAAACAAGGATTTTAAAAAAATATAATTTATTGTCAAATTGGCTTACATACAACACCCAGTACTCATCCCAACAAGTGGCCTCCTCAATGCCCATCACCCATGTTCCTCTCTCCCCACCCCCCCTTCAACCCTCAGTTTGTTCTCTGTGTTTAAGAGTCTCTTGTGTTTTGCCTTCCTCCCTCCCTCTCTGTAACTATTTTTTTCCCCTTCTTTTCCCCCATGGAATTCTTTTAAGTTTCTCAAGATCCACATATGAGTGAAAACATATGCTATCTCTCTTTCTCTGACTTACTTCACTCAGCATAATACCCTCCAGTTCTATCCATGTTGCCACAAATAGCAGGATTTCATTCTTTCTTATTACCAAGTAGTATTCCATTGTATATATAAATCACATCTTCTTTATCCATTCATCAGGTAATGGGCATTTAGGTTCTTTCCATAATTTGGCTACTGTTGAAAGTGCTGCTACAAACATTGGGGTACACCTGCCCCTATGCATCAGCACTCCTGTATCCCTTGGATAAATTCCTAGTATTGCTGTTGCTGGGTCATAGGGTAGGTCTATTTTCGATTTTGAGGAACCTCCACACTGTTTTCCACAGCGGCTGCACCAGTTTGCATTCCCACCAACAGTGCAAGAGGGTTCCCGTTTCTCCACATCCTTGCCAGCATCTATAGTCTCCTGATTTGTTCATTTTAGCCACTCTGACCGGTGTGAGGTGGTACCTCAGTGTGGCATTGATTTTTATTTCCCTGATGATGAGTGACGTTGTGTATCTTTGCATGTGTCTGTTGGCTATCTGGATATCTTCTTTGGAAAAGTGTCTAAAAACAAG